GACGAAGAAAGGTGTACTTGTTGAAAGCGTTTGAGTTATCAGATTATTTGTAATGTGATTCAAAATTTAAGAATATTTTGGAGTTAAAAATTACTCACAGTATTATAATTTTCGTAAGATGTTACAGTTTCCTCTGTACTTTAACCAAGTAGTTGAGCATTTTACCTCATTTTGTCACTTAATGGGGTATTAAAAAATCGTTGAATCCTAGAGTTTTGGCTGAAAGCCAGTGAATCTTGGGAATGAGTGAAATGTTGGTTACAACCAGTTGTTCATAGATAAAGCTGTGAATCTAAAAGTATATTCTCTGGAGATTGTGGAGTCCGAGGTCAGAGACTGCGAGCTTTCGTTATAGAGACAAATATAAAAACTCATGAAGTGAATACATGCATTGTATCTTGTTAACTGGCACTGATATCAGTCAAAGTGAAAAGGTTATGAAAGGGTTTCGTAAGTTTCCAGAAGACGAATGCACACTTTAGAATCAAAATATTTTCACTCTGTGTTTTGAAGCACTACTAGTGTGATGTAAAGTTCCTAAATCAAAAGATATTTAGTTTCATTATCACTGCTTGTCCTTGCTACTTTTAAAAGATATATTTGATATTAATGTTAGATGGACTTTAAAGTTTTTTCATTAAAAATGTACATGTTTTCAATAACTTCGCGGACATATCATGCGTTGATAAAAGTCTACGTGGATTTCGTAGTATCAGCTTGACACTCTGCAAAACAGTGGTTTGAAATACTGGCCCAGTAAGTTTTTAAATCTATCCGTGTCCATGTATCATCTATCTCACACTAACGGATTGTCAATGGTTCTTATTTACAGAATTCTAGTGATAGTTAAAAAGGTTGTATTACTTCTACACTTTCAAATACGTATTTCATTATTTTATACAACTTTGTTAACACAAGATGGATACTAGTTTAATATTTGTCTATTTTTTCCTGCGTGATAACTGGAGTATGTGTATTAATGGTCTACTATAGGGTAACCTAACTCTTTAGTTGTCGAAGGGGCAAGAGTTTGGATTAATGGTTAGAGCATCGGGCTGCGGATTGAAGGGTCTGGGGTTAAAGATGTGATGTTGTTGAGCACGCTTCAGACTTTCAACTGTAGGTGTGTTATGAAAATGACAGCCAATTCCGTTATTTAACTAAAATAAACAAACAAAAAACAACAACAAAATAAAAAAACAGAAAAAAACAAAGACCTTGTGGCAGCGGGTGCTACTGGCTAGTTGCTATTTTTCTTGTTAGTAGTTCATCTTAGAGGCGACTATGCCTGAATCCAGGAGATCCATGACCCGGTCGTTTACACACGTGCGCATAAAGTGCCGCTCAGGTTTAAATAATCTAATTTTATTAACCTATGGAAGGCTGGTAGTAGAGGATGAAAACATTGGAGGGCAATAATGTGTTACTTATGTGACATACTGAAATATAATTTTCCTGTTTTTAATGTATAAGTTTAAATTAAACACGTGATTAGTAATGAGTGCACGGGCCGAATTTAGACCGCCAGCTGAACCATGCTTGTCGACTGTATCAATATTATTAATGGTCTGTCATTATGTGTATATGGTGTATTTATTGTGTATATACAACGCTGTCACTACATTAAAAGTGTCACGATTCTTTATGTAGGCTTAAAGCAACGTTTTGGTGCAAGATCGCGATATAAATAATTCTGATATACTTGCTGGTTACACAGTTTAAAAACTAACACTTTCTAGTAGAAAGTAACTCTGATGTAATTGGTGGCTACACTGTGAATTAAAAAAACTTACTAGAAAAATAATCCAAATATTTCTGATACTAACTTTTAGCAAACTTAGGTTCTAAAGACAGAAAACATCTTGCAGAAACGTCTTCTTTTTTTCTCTCCAAGAATCAAGTTTATAATATCATAAATTAAACTGGAAAGAAGATAAGTCACCAAATTTTACGGTTAAGAAGTTATTTAAATGGTTACTCAAAGAGATGTTTTTTAAATCATAGATATATACTGGGGAGCAAAGTAACATAAATTATATACAAAGTTACCAACTTCCATATTAAACCAGCACGTAATGTTCACAAACTACTGTGAACACACATCCAGATCCTTGATAAGATCCTCGTGACACTTAGTTACTTAATACAGATCCTTAATAAAATCGTTGTGATACTTACTTAATCCACCAAAGTATTATTATTATTGTACTTTTCTTACAGATATTATTTTGCTTTGTTAGTTTAATAGTCCTAAATCTACTCATCTGGCCAAATCACGTGAGATATTATTGGCCGGAAATATCATTGATAGCGAGGGCACCCATCTAATGGAGCAGCACGCATTATTAGTTTTTTTGTAAGTAGGAACGGGAAAACGTTATATTTCGATAGTTGTACTCGGTTCTGGCTTGATTTCTTTTTATGCAGAAGCTCTATCAATTCGTGGTTTATTTACACCAGATCTTCAAGAACTGCTTTATAATGTCATTGGCATTTCAATAAATGTATTCAGAAGCAAAAGAAAATCACACACCAGAGAAACTACTTTATTGTGCGAATTTGAACAGTACACACACACACACACACACGCCATATAGTTCACCAGTTATAATAATTATTACATCATCATACATATTTACAAACACAATGCAGTGGATGTTTCTCACCGACAAAAATCATCCATAAAATTCCTATACAGATGACCGTATGAATGATTCATGACTGCTAGATATCAGAATACTGAAAATATACAGCATTTCCCAGCTTATAACACCTTAAATATAAGTATCTAGGAACACGTCAATTTTATTAACGGTGAGCAGCTTGTGGTAAAATGTTGAAATAAACAAAGGTTACGCAGAGCGTTTGAAAGCTAAAATAAACTTTATCTGCTGGTATGTAAAATTAGAATAAATAATGATCCTTACTTATAAATACGAATACAAAAATTCATCTGTTGCAGAAACCAAACCAAAAGTCTAAATTACGTTGTCTTTAAGGAAAAGACTTGTAAAATAAATAATTTTAAGAAAATTTATTCAAAGGAATATTATATGTTAATCGATCTCAAGTGATTCTGTAAAATGCTCTTTTGCAAATATTGAATTAGTTAATTTATTTTTATGTATAATATATATATATTGTACCATAAGTACGTCTTGTAGCTATTTCATACTAGAAAAATGCCCAAAGAAAAGGCTGTAATAACCCAACATAATTCTCTAGTATAATTATTTTAGCACTGCTAAAAAAAGAGTTCTCGAACTGAAATTACGAGTAATTTACTAATATGATGTGTGTTTGTTGTTAAGCACAAATCTAGATAATGAGCTATCTGCGCTGTGCTTACTTCTGGTATCGAAACCCAGTTTTTAGCGTTATAAGCCTTCAGACGTACCACTGAGCCACTGTGGGGCTACTATTTCTAAATTATAGGTCGTAACTTCGCTTTAACAATATAGTTTTATAATATAATAGCAATTTGAAGAAATTTGAATCAATATAATCATGTGTTCACGTTTCTAGTTGGCTCGATTACAAGTAATAATATCAGGCTCTTTATATTGTCTCTTCAAACATATCTATGAAAACAAAAAAGACAGTAGAATGTTACAAATAACCTGTTACCTTACAATTTAATACTTTTGTATATTTACCGGGGGAGGTAAAAGTCCTAATATTCCTTATTGTTATAAAGGTAATGTGGAATATCGAAAATCTGCTGACCTAGAGTGTTTAGGCATATTGGGATCATTTGTTACCCTACACGTCTTTGTTATCGTTTCCTGACGAACTTAGGTAGCAACGTTTCTGGAGTAATATCGTTGTGCTCAACAACGTTTTTATCGATACATTTTATCTTAGATTTATAATTTCAGTAATGTTAATTGTATGGCCTTGTTTTTACCTTTATATCATGACATCGTGTGAGGAAAAAAATGGCCTCCAATATGTTTAAACATCGAATGTCATTAGATTTGTTATATTCCTCACCTACTTCACAACAATAGGGAAAAAAAATCAAGATTTTTGACCCATCCTGTATATTGTGCTTTAATCCTTCCATATAATATCATTTCTGGTGATGTAAAACGTTGAACACCTGTTTTACATTTTAAACTTATATCTCTTATAGCTATTTTACATGAATAGCTGGAATATAAATTTTATTTTTTAATACTCGTGAGCAAATAAAAACTCAAATATTATATAATGTGTTTTGCCAAACCTTTAATTCACCCAATTTTTATCGCCATTTTGTTTTACTTGAAAAAAAACTACCGCAAAGTACATGGCGTTAGAGATTATAGTTTTATATAAAATGTTTGAAATATTAGTTTATAAGTTATACAGATTTCATCTTTCATTTGTAATTAGTCTAAAAAGTAAAGTAAAAATTCAATCAGATGATAAAATGAACATGTATTCCAGCATGTTATGAAATACGAGAAGAGAAAAGATGATCGGTCGAGTCTGCTGCCATTTTCAAAATGATATCATGACATTTTCAAAATCTATCCCCTGTAATCGTGAATTCTGAGAATCGCATACGAATATCACGAAATAACAAATATTAATAGAGGAATAATATCAGTAACTGAGTGCCTTCAACTAATCACGTACCTATTGGGTGCAGATAAACATTATTATTATTTTTTTTGTCGAGTTGGGGACTGCGATTTCTATATATATATATATATATATATAGTTTATATCAGATTATGTCATTCATTTACAGTCCTGAGAAAACAAAGCATTCAAAAAATGAGTTTATAACTTCGTATTGTTGGTATTTACATTAAATGTTGCAACGAATAAAAAGTAAACATAATAAATAAATAAATAAATAAACAGAAAATTCGTGAAGTTTTTTCCAAATCAGGCTCACATGATTGGTCTAAAATAATTATTTTTTCCAACAAATTATTTTTATTTCAACAAACATGTGAAAAAAACAACAACTTATTTTAAAAGTAACGAAAAACCCTGTATTATAAAGTAAGAGCTTTAATGATTGTTTACATATTTGATTGCCTATAGAAATAATTATTTTTTAATGAAGTTATAAAGCAAGCAGTTGGAACGCGTAAAATGTTTATATTGTTTGTCACAAGAGTAAGACAGTAAAGCATGCTGTGGGAATGTGTAAATATTTCATACTGTTTGTCCTGAGAGCAAGACAGTAAAGCATGCTGTGGGAATGTGTAAAGTCTTTATATTGTTTGTCACGAAAGTAAGAGAGTAAAGTGTAAAAGAGCATTGATAGGTAGTTGTCATTCGTTAATTATACATTTGTTTAACTTTGTGATTTTTTGAACAGGTCACATAAAAAATAAAACATTAATAACAAAAATACTGAAACATCAATAATAGTAAAGTCGATTGGGTGGCACCAGTTGTTCACAAAGGAACGTTTTGGAATTCCTGTCAAAACTGACTAGTGAGTGTTTTATGAGCACCTGAACAACCAGTATGTACACCCAGAGAGGTGGGACAAATTAATCACATAGTCACTAACATTTTATAGCTTGGAAACAAGTAAAGATTATAATACACTATAATATATGACTAGCAGTCGTATTCTTCTGGCCCACAAACTGTCAAGTAAGTAGACAAACATCCCACATATGGATTTCAAAGTTATGCCTGATGCTCACATGCACTGCCAATGAATTAGTTTTACCACCGATACTCTCCTATTTATAATTCAGGACAGGAAATACAACTAGAATATGAATATCAGTAGTGTTTAATCACGGAACTAGTTCACAGCGAGCCAAGCTTACTTGTAAGACTTTTAGGCTACGCATGTTTCTCATGATACCCTAAATATCGGTAGCACAAACTGGTCATTATATTTAAAGTTGCCCAAATGTTATAGACATTTTCTTGAAAACCGCAAGGACTATGCTTGGTCTGGATTATACGGGGAAATCACAGATTGACAGTCAAATTTTTTCATTCTTTTCAGTTGTTATTCAGAGGTATACTTCAAACCAATGAACTTTCTTTTTTAATTGACCTTGACTAAAATCACCGATTCTTGTTCTAGCTGTGAAAAATGTTGAGTTTTGAGGTAAAAATTATGTCGTTTATTTTTCAAAACATACATATACCTAGGTCCTAGTCACTGAAAACTCTTCAAAAATGTAGTAAAATCGTGGTTAATTCAGTATCCTCATAATATCTGGTCAGAAAAGGTTCAAAACATTAATACTTTTGGGAGGAAGGAATGCCTGATCCCCCTCCTTCCATATCATCCAACCAGGATGCTGGACTAGGTGGAAACTCTTGGTAACTATGATTATTACCTCCATTCATTTCAGAAGAAGGTGGCAAGGGACCAGATGAGCCCACCATTCTGGAAGGGGTTAAAATTGGTGGGAGGTGTCCATTTTGACCGTGGACGGCGTGATGTATTCCTGGACCATATGGTATTCCAATTCCCTCTCCTCCATAGCTGAAAGGTCCTGGGTGAGGAAAGGGAAGAGGGATGGGTGTATTAGGACTGTGATTACCCGAGATGTAAGGAGGTGTGCCAGGGCCATGGAAAGGATTACTTCCAGGGAATATAAGTCCATTTGGACCTTGAGGAGGAGACGGACCAAGAGAACGTTCCTGATCCACAAGCAATGCACCACCAAGTGGAGTTCCAAAAGAGTCTGCAGGTCGTAGTTCCAGTTCATCTGAAAATAATATATTTTTAACCATAAATTTATGAAAATCTAAAAAATAAAAATAATTAAAATCATACACTATTTCTTTTTAGAATAACTAGTTTTGCATCTCACATTTCGTCACAAAACCTTTAATATAGATCTTCGTACAATTGATCAAAATTAATGCACCCAGCAAGCCAATTTCATTGCGCGATTTAATTGTAGTGACAGTTTTGTATTCCAACTTTGCATGGAGCGTTAAAAATGTCAAAAGAGGTTTAAAATGAAAATGTCTATGCTACTGTTTGCGAGGCTGATCTTATTGAAATATTTCTCCATTATTTACGATTTCTCTTCTATTTTCACAAAGAAAGTTGAAAGTAAATCGCTATAATTCATTGTTATCAACTGATTTACCAACTTGCTTAACTATTAAAAACCCAACAAATAATGAAACTTTTAAAAAACTGTAAACAAAGTTCGATAACTAAGATTCCCTTACAACTATGAGTCTTAAATATATTTTGCTTAAAATCTTGTGGTTAGTATCCTTATGTGAAGAATGTGGTTTCTGGTTCAACGTGAGAATTATACAAAAGTGCTCTTCAGTTTATTAGTGTATTGTCTTTATAAACGTTTAAATCAAGGGTTTACTGAACCGGTAACAGTTTTATAACTGATATCCCTGAGTTTTCCATCGGGATGAAGTTTCTTCGAATCATTTACATAAATAATAAAAAGTCAAAACTCAGCCAGTTCCTGTACTGTTAACTGATGCCCCAGAGTTTCTCACCAATATTACGTTCCTAATAACCCTTTACATAAGTGCAAAACAAAAATTCAAAACTCAACCACTTCCAGTACTGTTAACTCAAGCCCCAGAGTTTCTCACCAATATTACGTTCCTGGTAACCCTTTACATAAGTGCAAAACAAAAACTCAAAACTCAACCACTTCCAGTACTGTTAACTGATGCCCCAGAGTTTCTCATCAATATTACGTTCCTGGTAACCCTTTACAAAAACTCGAAACTCAGCCAGTTCCAATACTGTTAGCTGATACTTCCGAACTTCCCACCAGGACAGGTTTAGCTACCGTAATGACGATTCTGTCTGCTCATGAGCTATATAATCAGGAACGAAGAATGACATTATGACACTAACTTCTCAATGGAGACATATTAAGTTTTCTTCGAGATCGTTGTTCAGCTGAGTTTACAGAGTACTTTACAAAGGACTACTCAACTCTTTGCTCAATTCAATAAGGGAAACACTAATTCAAATAGTTCTGTAAAACAAAGAATAGAAAAAAAAACTTGTAATTTACCTTTCTTGATTTCCTTTATATTATAGTTCAGCAAAAGGGTTTACCATAAGTGAATTCTAGTAGTTGAAAATAAAAGTAAGATAAAATAACTGTTTACTTTTCAAAGGATGTGGAAATACACGGAAAAGTTTGTCAATTTAGATTTTCCTCTACAAATGATGGAAACACAGTGTATAAACATTTTAATCTAGTGTACCGGGTCGAACAGGAATCATTTACGTTGGCGTCGGATTTAACAAAATTTCATGGTTATCATTTCTAAGTGCATTTTATTAGTGGTGAATTTGCAAAATGGATCATGCATATGCATTGAGTGATAATGTTCAACTCCTAAGATAATTCAGTTCTATGTTCTGGAATGTTGCTGCTATCATATGAATAAATTCAACTTTACTGAAAATCTTAGGACGTTTCTTATTAGCGTGGCTAATAAAAGAATGTGTATAAGATTACCTAAGATAACTTGAAGTCCAAAACATTAAGTTTGTACACTATGCTGGGTCAGGCAAAAACCAAAATGAAGCATACAAAATATTCTACATTTCGTAATGTAATATTTAGTAGCGGAATATAAGAGACATACTTAAAATCGTAACGGATTGTCGCATAACTAAAATTACAACTCTCAAAAAGATCTAGCAAAAGTTCTAGTATAGGTTGAAATCCCTATTGCACGTTAAACGGCATTAAATTTTCATCAACGATAGTGGGTTCAGGTGTCATTATCAAAAATTGAAATAAGGTACTAAACAGTAAAGCTTGAGATAAAATACAATTCTCCTGTCTGGTACTTAATAATAAGACTTGACATAAGCTATAATCTCTCCTTTCTGGTACTAAAAACTAAAGCTTAAAAAATATAATCCTTTTAGCTGATACTAAACAATAAGCCTTGACATAAAATATAGTATCTTCTATCTGGTATTAAACAGTAAGGCTTCACATAGAATATAGTCTCTTCTATCTGGTACTAAACAGTAAGGCTTCACATAGAATATAGTCTCTTCTATCTGGTATTAAACGGTAAGGCTTCACATAGAATATAGTTTCTTCTATCTGGTATTAAACGGTAAGGCTTCACATAGAATATAATATCTCTTATCAATTTCTGCGGACGTACAACGCTAGAATCCGGGTTTCGATATCCATGGTGGTCAGAGCACAGATAGCCCATTGTATAGCTTTGTGCTTAATTACAAACAAACAAATAAACTCTTATTAATTTAACTGAATTTCTTATCAGGCCACTGACAAATTTTTTAGGCCTTCAATATACAGTTTTGAATGGTTCAAAATGCCATATAAATACACAAAACTTCATAATGTAAAAAAGAGGCCTTATTAGACCTAGTGAAATAATTTAGTACAGTACGGAATAGTTTTTAGTTTTCTGAAATTTAACATTCATAAGTCTATATAGAAAACATCATATCACGTAATGAGAGATCGTTTGTTTGTTTGAAGTTAAGCACAAAGCTACACAATGGGCTACCACTCGTATTGAAACCCGGTATCTGGCGTTATAAGTCCACAGACATACCGCTGTGCCACTGGTAGGCAATGAAAGATTGAAGTCAAACAGCATTCCCTCAACTTCAACGATGTCATAATTTTGTAATATAAATTGGTTGTTGTTTGAAGTTAACCACAAAGCTATACAACGTGCAATCTGTGCTCTACCCACCACGGGTATAGAAACCCGGTTTCTAGCGTTGTAAGTTCGCAAACATACCGCTGGGGGCGAATATAAATTAGAAATAGGCCAAGTGCTTGTTATAAATAATGTTTTAGGAAATAAAAACTAGCTAATAACAGCAACACACAAGTCGTAAGAGTTACGTGTATAATGGTTCACTAAAGAATGTCATTGATAAGAAAAATATGAACAACGTATACAAAAATATTATTTTAAAATTGCATAACTATAAAAACAACATTTAGTAGGAATTCATAGAAAGATCAGTAATTAGCACTATTTTTAGCCAAAGTGAATAGAACAGGCTTAGTCAAACAAAGCTGTTGAGTCAAAGGTAGTCAGCATGTGAAATCAAACTTGTAGACTTACACGACTAATAACCTAGTTACCAGATGAAGTGTTGTTTGTTATAATGTACCAAACTTGTACAATGTTTTTGCTTAAGGTCTGTGTGAATATTTTGTATTAACCCTGGATAAACTCTGTAAGTAGTAATAACAGTTTATTACAATTGAGTGGAAAACACAAATAATCAATTTTCATCTCTAGCTTTTAAAAGTCAGAGTTCATTGATATTATTTTTATAATTGATTAGTTATCTTTAACAACGTAAAACTATGTAAATTAAACACAGTATTACATACATGTTCAAGAGGCGGATGGTAACTAACGAAGAACATAATAAGCAAAATTATCTAATATATAATTGCATTGCTTTACTGCCCTACATTTGTCCAGTGGTCAAGAGCTTCTGCAAAATATTATTTTATTTTATCAAACATATAAAAGTGCATGAATTAACATTAATAGATTGACACATTAACTTGAGTAATTAAGTGTGATTGCGTTTATTAGTAGTTGTACTTATAGGGTGTAAATTTATGTAAGAAAATTTACAGTGGAATTTTTAAACTTAATCTGTCAGTTCAAAAATACCCTAATACTGTGTATTTTACCTTAGGAAAACCAATGTACCAATATGCAGTGTAATAAGTACGAAAGAAATAAGAGTTTCAGCAACTGAATGTGGCTGTTGAGTATTTGATCTTCAATTTTAATGTCTTCAGAACTCAGATGTTTGATAAGCTTCATATCGGGAGTAAACTTCGTTACTAGCTTGTTACGTCTATCACAGAAACTATACATTAATGATATAAAAGGTGAAAATCAATAAGGATTTTGTTGTGTTTATAACGAATTAGATATGGTAGAAAAATTTGGAAATCAAACTGTTCAGTAAGCACTAATTTTCCCTGTAACAAATTAATGACCCTATTTTTACTTAGATCAACGCTATGTAGTAGCATGATTATTACCCTATGTAGAGTACAAACAATGAATAAATATTATTTCATGTTACCACCAATTCTTGATTTTGAAATCACTAGAGCCATACCTCTGTACAGTGAATCACTATCCAGGTCGGGTTTATTGTCTTTCCCCCTATCCAATCGATGTCGGTCTCTGTTTTCAGGAGAACCAGGAGACGCAGATGTAGGGGTTGAAACTGAAGAAACACTCTGTTTTAGGCTTCCACTAGTATTACGGAAGTACTCCCCCCAACGACTCTTCCCAGCATCCTTCTTGAGTCGTTTTTCTTTAGCTCTTCGGTTCTGGAACCACACCTGAACTACCCTCATGTCAAGTCCTGTGTCCTGGCTCAGTTGTTCTCGGACATGGCGCGCAGGTTTCGGACTGTTGTTGTATGCAGTCTTCAAAGTCTCCAGTTGTTTTGCCGTAATGGTGGTCCTAGGTCTCTTGCTGGTACCATCTGTTCTACAACAGCCGGCCAGAAGGTCACCGTTAGCAACACATATAGCTACGACCTTAGCGAAAGTAAAATTACACACTTACCTGTTTCAGGAACTTAATTATTAACCTTTAGATACTGTACTTGTATTTTATATTTATGGTAAAGCTACTAAGGCTACCTGCAGCCGTAGTAATTTTTCGGTACTGACCAGAGGGAAGGCATTTAAGTACTGATGACTTCGCATGCTGTTTTACCTGTTTGATGACACTGTTGTGCTTAAAGAGGTTAAAATTAAACTCATTTCATATAGGCTTTAATGATTATCTTTTAGTTTATGAAACTAAAATGCAGAAATATAATTTTTACCGATTTTTCTTTTAAACTTAACCGATATAAAGTTAACTAAAACAGGCTCTGAACAACGGTTTAAAATTTGCTTTAATGCCATAGAAACTGCCATTTTAAAGAATAAAAATGTGAATTCGAAAATTCGACTTCGACTAGAAAATTAATAATCATAAACGAACGATAAAATAAGAAAAAAAAGGATAACAGCAACTATTAAAAACATAAACAGCACAATGGAAGACACTAACCAAGATTTTTATAAAACAAACAGATCTAAAACAACGAGCTATTTTCTTAAGAAACTGAAAACAGGAACAATAAATAAATTCCTAAAGGAATTCTAGATGAAATCAGAATTTTTGATAAAAAAACACAAAAAAAGTCAACAAAATATAAATAAAGAAGAGAAAAGGGCTTTAAATGATCTACAATAAATGAAAGAAGTTATCATCACAAAGGTAATACTCAAAGAAGTGATTAAAAACGATACAAAATAGTAAAAAGTAAAACTAAACCCTAATGAAATATGGGAAAGGAAACTAACCACATGTTTGAAATAAAAGACAAAAAGTTGTTCAACGCTTGTCTTTATTTACTATAATACCACAGTTATATGAACTACCAAACAAAGATACTTAAAGAAGGTTTCTCAATAAGACCAATTCTATCAAAGCATGACAGTTTAAATTATGAATTATATAAATAATTAGCTTGAATTGTAAAACGATACATAAAAACTAAAAACTGTCGCGTAGAACTCTTACGAAGTAACACATAAATTGAAAAAAGAAAACTCTAACAGTAGTATATACAACTGCGATGTATGGTTAATGTACACTCAAATACCGGTGAAAGAACCCATCGTAATACCACTAAACAAAACGGACAACGATGAAAACAAAACTATAAAAATATACATAGAAGATATGAAATAACTATTGAAATTAGGAATTAATAAAATTATTTATGAAAAAAAGTTTTTATATACAAAGATAAGGTCTAGGAATGGAAAGCCCATTATCTCCAGTTTTATCAACATTATTCTTCGTCAGGAAAGAGACAAAGGCCATTAATACAGCTTTATTTCTACCACTTTTATGGTAGAAATATGTTGATGATATCCTATGTGGCTTTAAAGGTGAAGAAGAATTAATATGTTTTTTTAAACACATTAACAGACAACATAAAGACATACAATTCACAATAGAAGAGGATGAAAATGGTTGTATAAACTTTCATAACGTGAACACAACCAAAAAAAAAGGCACATCTAGTTTGAAAATTCATCAAAAGAAGACTCACGATGGAACTTATGTAAACTGGTTTTCCGTACATGATAAAAAAGTAAAAATCAGAACATTACCAGCACTAAGACCATGTACCAATGAAAACGTGGAAACGAAATTCAAAACATAAGAAAATGTTTCTAAACAAAAAAAACATAAAAATAAAAATGAGCAAACTCTAAGCATATTTGATGACACAGTCTAGAAAACGACACAACAAGAAAAAAGTTAACACATAAAAGAACAACAAGAGAACTGACAAACACACCTAGAAGAGCAAGAAAAGAAACGTATTTATAGATCAACACCATTTGTAGACGTTATTAATGACAAATTAATTAGCTTGTGGTACAAATTAAGTAAAAAAAAACATAAATTAAACGTAAACTAAAATCGTAACTATAAAAGAAACTAACATTGAAAGTTTTCTACCAAGTTAATATCATAATAAGAAATATTGCAATGGCACAGTGTATAAAATAAAATGTTTAGACTACGAAAGTTTCTATATAGGAGAAACAGGTAAGAAAATAACGACCAATTACAAGGAACATGAAAAACAAAATTAGTCAAACGTAAACGAAAAAAAAAACAAACATATTAAAGTACTGAATGTAGAGAAAAATCCAAACAAAATAAAAAATCTGGAAGCACTAAAATAAGAGTAAAAAAAATTAGAACCTAACATTAATAAAACATCAGGAATGCTATTATTTTACTTTAAGATATTTACATTTAATACCTAGAGGGAGCTAGTATAATAAACCCAGTTATTTGATTGGATGTATTTGTAATTTGAAGATACTTGTACCATGTTTCACTGATACAGACGAAACGTTCTACAGAAATATATCTATTATCCCACAAATATCTGCTTCAAAACTTCATATTGTTCTTTAATTAAAAATCGTAAAGTTTTTATTTTAATTGTCGATGATAATTTCCTAAATGTAAAACGCAATGATAAATTAAAGTTAATGCTTATGTTTAGTCTGTTCCTTTGATTCGTTATTGAATGTAAATAATAAAGTGACAAACTCCACGAGGTCAAAATCAGTTTTGTAAGAATACTACAAATTATTGTCTGCTGTCGTTTTATTTATTTTTTTAGATACAAAAGAACATTCTGAAGCAAACAACTTAAATAAATAAGTACGAAAATGATATGCAACGAAATTATTTGATTAAATAGAAATCAAAATAAAATAATACAATAATCACTTATTAAGATGCTTTATTGGAAAACAAAGCAGAAATTAATAAGTAAATGGATGATTGGAAATATTAAATTTATATTTGGGAAACAGTTTTCGAAAGATTTCTCTCACCCAGTGGTTAAATGTTCTGTCATGGAATACATATTAACACCATGATCATGATAATGCTGTTTGATGAAATTTATTTGGAAAATATGAAAAAGGTTTTAAATGTTTCTGTTAAATGTTTAAAGAAATTGATGAGCTTATAAAGACAGACACAAACCCCTTATATATAACTCCCTGCTAAAGGTACTTTACTTTATCAGATGTGAGATTAGAACATTAACTAAAGGTTATTTTCTTCTTCCTCAAGTTGAGTGGGATTAGAATATTAACTAAAAAAGCTTTTCTTCTTCCTCAAGTTGATTGGGATTAGAATATTAACTAAGGAAGCTTTTCTCCTTCCTTAAGTTGATTGGGATTAGAACATTAACTAAAGGTTATTTCCTTCTTCCTCAAGTTGATTGGGATTAGAATATTAACTAAAGAAGCTTTTCTCCTTCCTTAAGTTGATTGGGATTAGAACATTAACTAAAGGTTATTTTCTTCTTCCTCAAGTTGATTGGGATTAGAATATTAACTAAAGAAGCTTTTCTCCTTCCTTAAGTTGATTGGGATTAGAACATTAACTAAAGGTTATTTTCTTCTTCGTCAAGTTGATTGAGGTTAGAACATTAACTAAACGTTATTTTCTCCTTCCTCAAGTTGATTTTGACAAGAATATGAAATAAAAGGCTCTTCGTCTTCCTCAAGTTGATAGGGTCAACGAATTTAAAATACTCTGTACTAAAATTACATTTTACGTCGACAACATATCCTAATGGTAGGTTTACCAAAATAGTTTCTTCAACTAATGACAGTTGTTTTTCGTAGACATATTTCTCATTATGACGTGAATAAAAGAAGTTATTAAGATGATCTTGAGATCAGCCTTGATCTGTATCATTTTAGAGCAGAAGTTTATCGTGGCAACACTTTTGTACGTGGAAATGACTTGGAAACACAATAATCTGAAAAACGTGTAAATAATTCAGCAAAAGGTCTTTAGTAATTAATAGAGAATGTACAAATTAAAATATTACAAGAACGTATATTATGGCAATACCCTGAAAAAAAAGAAAATTCAAGAGCCTAAACGATCAGAAAAACAGTATGAGGTTAAAATTGACACATTACCGCGTGCTTTGGCTGATTCGTAATCGTTCTTGCACACTAGTTTGTTGTCTTCCATCAAGTAGAACTCGTCGCCGGTGTTGAGCTGACGCTTGCAAAGGATACAAGAAAAACAGGATAGGTGATACACATTGTCTTGCGCTCTTCTCACCACTTGTGTCGGAGGAATACCCTGCTCGCAACCAGCACATTTTGTTCCAAATCTCCTGAAAAATACGGTTAAATTTGTGATTCTACGCTGTAACTAACTGATGGTTGTCGAAAAAAAAAATAATCACTTTGTTTCACTAATTAATGGGCCCGGCATGGCCAGGTGGTTAGGGCACCCGACTCGCAATCTGAGGGTCGCGGGTTCAAATCCCCGTCCCACCAAACATGCTCGCCCTTTCAGCCGTGGGGGTGTTACAATGTGACGGTCAATCCCACTATTCGTTGGTAAAAGAGTAGTCCAAGAGTTGGCGGTGGGTGGTGAAGCTGTCTTCCCTCTAGTCTTACACTGCTAAATTAGGGACGGCTAGCGCAGATAGCCCTCGTGTAGCTTTGCGCGAAATTCAAAAACAAACAAACACTAATTAATATGAAAATAGAAATTGTTCATTTAGTTTCGTCAAGACAAGTTATTATAGCAAACACTGGTTGAAAAGAAAAAAAGAAAATTGCTTACATAAAAAACATCATTTTTATAAAAGAAATAAAATGAGGTTTTAGTTATTAAGCACATAGCCACAGAATGGGTTACCTGTACTGCGCCCATCAGGGGAATCGAAACCCAGTTGTTAGCGTTGCAATCCTTCAGATTTGCCGCTAAAGTACTGGAGGGATGGAACACTAGTTGACATAAAGCTAGAACTCATGTGTTGCGATTCTAAAACATGAAAACTAAAAGGTTGATATTTATATATATACCTAAAACTTGGTCAATACTACTTTGTTCCAAAAATATATTACTCATAGTTTTAATCACTTCGAAAATACAGTACAATACTATCATACTACTGCCATGATGTAAATAGTCAAATTGATAAAAAATTGCCTTCTTGTTAAACATAATGGACAGACAGTAAAGGTTGAACAGTCCTGAAATGAAACTAATAGGTGAGTTCGATAACGTGCCCTGTGGCTCAGCGGTAAGTTTGAGGCTTCAATACTCGCGGTGGGCACAACACTGATAGCCCATTGTTTAACTTTGCGCTTAAAGACAAACAAACAAACAAATTCAACAATTAAGGTCACTCAATAATTTTTTGCCCTTTATAAATATTCACAAAAGTTTACTTTTATTTTCTTAATTCCGATTCCTTTTAGAGTTCTAATATTGAAAATTGAAAAAATCAAGTACTTTATAATTAAACTAGAAATCTGGTCACTGTCCGTACGAAGCAAAGATTTTTTTGTTTGTCCTTTGAATTTCGCACAAAGCCACACATAGGTTTTTTGTGCTAACCGTTGCTAAGTTTGATGTGATAGACCAGAGGGAAGATAGCTAGTCAACTTCATCCACCGGCAACTCTTGAACTAACTGCTTTTGTCTTCTTATAACGAACCTACGGCTTCAAAGTTATGAGTGCAATGTTTTTTAAGGGATGCAAACCGCGGGACCTCAGATCCACAGTCCAACCACGATCAGTCCATAGAAACAAAAATTGATCAGAGTTGACCTGCTTATCTTTCATGTTTGTGCTATTTGACTGAACGTTTCTGTTACTTACATCACATATTACAAAGCCTCTACAGAACATTTTCCCCTATATTCAAACCATAGGTGTTTTAAATAAATTTATCAACCATTATAATCATAATTGTAAACAATTTTCGGTTTAAAGTGGTCTTAATTCATGAAATACTTATTTTTAAGGTATTCATTAAAAACTGTTACATTAAGACTGTTTTAAGTTCAAAGATAAACGTTAAAAATGATATGCATTAGAAGCTATGTCAAGAACATAGTCGAGGAAATGGATAATCCATTGAATAGATTGTATATTATCTTGGGATGTAATTTGACTCTGAGACAGGATTTTATTTGTAATTAATTTTTTTTTGGCCTTAACTTTCCGAAATCTGGTTTGTAAACTAGATTTTACATTTTGAAATTAGGGTTACTGTAGTATAGTAAACTTAAAGAACATCTAAGTGTTATTGCTTTTTTTTCTTTCCAAAAATATGTTTATATGAGAAGGTGTTTTGCATATGAATATTACGTTTTTTTTAACAACTTTTTGAGTAATAACATACAGTTTTAAAACTACGTCAATGACAACTTTTCCTGTCGTTCGCTAACAAACATATATTATTCACCCAAATATAGATGTTTTGTATTGGAAACGCGAAGACAAGTATATGCGAGCCGATTATATGAATTTCTCACTTCAAAATATTCTCCGCTGTTTATGACTATATGATTTTCTTACTTGAAAAAGTCTTCTTTGCAAAATACTTGTCCGTTTCTCGAAAAGCATTTATCAGAGAGCTGAGCCTGGCACTCGGTACACTTGAGGCATTTAGCATGCCACGGCCTATCTAGAACCTTGAGTATGAAACGATCCAGTATTGACTGTTCACATCCTGCGCACTTTGGAATCGTAGCTACAAAAAAATACACAAAACAAAAGTCAAACTACTAGGTTTCAAATTCATTCTCCATTCAGAAGTCGTAGTACAATTGCGAGATTTACAAGAAAAAAGATATTGGTAAATATAGGTTTGTAAAGCAAATAAAATTCTTTTAGATAAAACATCAACAGTAGAATAAACTAAATGTATAGCAACATTCGGTGTATATTATGTGATCATTTGAATTTTGCAGAGTTTATTTCACGATATAGGTACATTCTTCTTCCAAACATGCGTACAAGTAGTTCAAGCTGGTAGATCGATAGACACTTGTACAAAAGTTATCTTAGAATACACAACCAATTAATCTTGAAAAGAACGCCAAGCAGTACATCCTTCAGACTGAATAGTAATTTATTGCATATAAAATACATACATTTTGAAAATACTCAGCAAATGATACTGAAGAGAAATTCGTTAAATTAAGAACCGATACAAAAAAAGATCTCAATAAAATTTATAGGAAATTTCTTTCGTGATATGAATATAGCGAAATGGAAGAGACGAGTTGTTTTGGCTAACTTGGGATAGGGATTATTTGTATAGAGATATACGCGAGTTTATATACTATTTAGTTTTATGTTGAACCATTTGTGGGGATTACAAAAAATTAAACTTCGTCGTTTGAATTGCAAAGCGTAATCTGAATAACCAGACGCATCAATTTCCAAATGTTACAAAGACAATATTGTGGCTTCAAAAGTGTGTACGGTCAATGTACTGAAGAACAAACGTTTGAGATAAAGAAAAAACATGATAATTATGTTTTACGAGAGACTAGTAAATATTTGTAGCTTACGACGACGCTGTTGCGCATCACTTACTCTTCTGCTCTCCTAGAATTGTTGGTTTTTAATTATGTAAAGTTCATTAGGTACGTATTTGATTTTGTCCTTGTTGCTGTTGCTATTTGTAGCGTAATAGTCCTTCTAGACAGAATATATTACAACCATTATGTCTAATCTGAACGATATTGAGTTTAGTTTACTTCAATAGAGGGGTTAATATCTATATTAGCAGAAACGGATTTCAGGAAAGACAGCAAACGACTACATTAAGAACACAAACATACATTTGTAAGTCTAAAAAGTAACTATTAATCTAAAGAAAATCAAAGAAACTCGATATTTTATACATAGATACAGGATAGTTATAAAGGACCCTCCCATATTTAAAATGATTATATCTTCAAAACTACTTGACCTATAGGAAATTAGGGTAGTTATAAAGGGCCCTCCCATATTTAAAATGATTATATCATCAAAACTACTTGACCTATAGGAAATTAGGGTAGTTATAAAGGACCCTCCCATATTTAAAATGATTATATCTTCAAAACTACTTGACCTATAGGAAATTATAAGCTTTACCAGAGGCACTTTAAGAACCATATGGTTTTGACTAGAAAGGTTTAGACGTAGTACACATGTTTTAAAAAATATTCTTAATCAACATATCGACATTCTTTTTAAAATGAAGCCACTTTAAGTACAATCTGCTTATGACAATGTTCATTAATCCTCGCGATATCATGCACACTTACATATATTATATTCAAACAACCCAACTTCGTGTTATATTTGTTTTTTAAGTGAGAAATAAAAGCAGCAGTGGTTTGCAACAGCCTAAAAAAATTTAGGCGTGCAGTATAAAATGATTTAAAATCTTTTCATGAATAAAAAATTTATTCTCAAAATGTCTCTGGATAATTTAATTCCCCTTGAACAGGTAGTATTTATGACAAAATCGTTCTGATTTATATATGTAGCTTTCTGTATAATCACCCAAACTAAGTAGAGTTCTACACATAAATACAACAAATTCTGTCCCATATTTTACGTTTTCATACCTTGTTCGAACACCACTCTAAAGTAACCTCAAGAATGTTGTTATATCACATGAACACTAGGTGGCATTTCTCTTCGCCTTGTTTGTATTGTTGACAAAAGTTTGCAGGTGAAGCAGGAAATACTGCGAATTCAGTCCTAACATTATGATTTTGTGTATTGAATATTTATATCTGAGCCAGTCTGTGTCTTAGCTTAATTTTTTTTTCTACTCGGTTGAGAATACATATTTCTTGAGATATGTAGGAAAACAGAAGATTCGCAAGAATTCAAATTTGGAAGCCATGCTAATAGTTTCTCTGTGATTCAGGATTGATGTTTTTGGTATCCCGTATCCCCCTCTTTTTACTGAATTAGATCGTAAGTTCAGATTGATCCAATTATTTCGTTTTCGTTATACATAACATTATATGATTTATAACATATTCATGTGACATCAACTCTAAAACCTGGTAGTCTCTCTGTATGAATATTTTTTTCGGAAAAACTGTTACAATATCATCCAGACATGACACTACCCGTAGCAACACTGCACTGGTCAGTAATTTGCTGTGAACCAAATACAAATATACTGCTTATAGACATGTCGCCTATAGGATAAGGTCATGCATCTGTGACCATAAGCTACTGCATTAGCTTGTATAAATCGTTTAAATAAAGTGTGTTGTTAACCTTCTTCGATAACCGTATTAATATTTTCCACGACTTGCTATTGATTTTTTACTTGATTAACCCTCTGTACAAGTAACATTTTTAAGATTACTTTGTCAAATAGAGGACGTTTGAAGCTTTATGTACTTGAATAATTATGTTTTCTACCATATACACAGTCTACCAATAAGTAGACTACCCCGAGAATAGAAATTGTAAATAATCCCGACGAATAACTACAGACATAACTCAGTAATGCTATAGTCATTAGGGAAGTGTATAATTTATCTTAACTTCAAAGAAATCATCGCTTCACAACGAATTAAAGAGAAGTTCAATTAAAAAGATGGGTATTATAGGCATGTTTAGGGTCAAACCTGGCTCAGCGCATCAAAAATAGGTAATTTCGATCATGTTATCGATCATAAACAATACCAAAACGTCATTCTGAGCACAAGATGTTGATGGTAATACGTTCCAAGTGTTCGTGCTTTAACACAGAAAGCATAGAGAAAATGATATACCTGAATGCGAAGGTTCAAAATATGTAGTGGAAATAATGAATCACAGTGAAGATGCATAACACAAAGTGTGTTAATACTGGAAGAGGTACATTACTTCAACCATAAAGGGTTCAGTAACGTTAATGTCTGAATTGGTACTATTTCCTGTAATAGTTTCGTTCAGAAAAGGATTCCTTTACCCCTCCTATCACAGAAACAACTAAATCTTTCACTTGCAATTAAAACATGAACCAATTTCCGTGTCTTACTTGGCTTTGATGCAAAGATAATGTAGACTTTTGGAGTCAACACACATATTGGATAAAAAAATACTCTTTGTAAACTTTAGTGTAGCATCTATAGTATCAAGGGAAATCCTTCAGCATGGTTAGCATTTGGAGCTATGAACCGCTACAAAATTGCAGTTGTGTTGGTGCATGGAGCTGTTGAAGTTTTCAAGAGGTCTATGTAACACTAACAATGGGAAAGGGTGTAGTTGTTTCGGGAATGCAATCCAGACATGAGTGTGAGGCACGTATCCGTAAAGAGCAGCATAGAACTAGAGTATTTACCAAACTCAGATCTGTCTTATGTAAAGTATTTTAGTACAACAAATGAACATGCAGATTTAAATAGCAAATAAAAATGCCAGATGCGACTTCAGTGTGGAAAAACACATAGGTGAAAAAAGTTCTAACAGGAAGCATCATGTTTTTGAGATGCAAACTGGTCTTTTACAAAAGCAAAGAAATGTAAACAGCAAGAAACGGAAGATGGAGAAGTAGCACTTAAGGTAGACGCCCACAGATTTGCAGTTATCGTTAGCACTTTCAATCTCTGTAATTACTTCATCACGAAAACGTAGCAAAAAGTCATTTTGTTTTGTTGTTATTTTTTCTTCTGACCTTTGCATACCTTTTCTCATGTCCAGAAAAACCGTTTAACATTTTTAGCTAAACATACCATACCATCAACCAGGAAATATAGGACAGTTAGAACATTTGCAAACTTTCCCGCTCAGATTAATATGACTGTAAATACGTTTTTATCAGACAAAACTCACTCTGAATATATAGGAAATATAGGACAGTTAGAACATTTGCAAACTTTCCCGCTCAGATTAATATGACTGTAAATACGTTTTTATCAGACAAAACTCACTCTGAATGTGACCTTCAATTTCTTACATCTATTTATAACGATACGTTATCCATGCTTTAGTATTCCTTTTAATTTCTCATTTTGTATGTGATTGAATTATTTATTAACTGTTTCACTTGACTCTTGCGCTATCTGAATGTTTAACAATTTGAGAATGCATGCGTTATTTGTGATAACAGATAGTAATGAGACTCGAAATTTTATATTTTCAGCTTCTTTGTATTCAGATATTTTGCCCAATCAACAGAAATGTCTTCTATCTTCTGGATTAAAGAGTAACTAAAGAGAGAAAAATACATAAAGACAAAATGAAAATACACAATAAAATATTAATCCGCGCAGTTGTCCACATCTGGAAATAGTTAGAGGATAAATGAAATAACACGTTAAGGATTTTTGTACCATACCTGTAACGTTGTTGGATCATAGATTTCATTGAAACTAATTATCGTATAACTTTAGGTGCAAATCATCTGTCTCAGTGTTTTAAGTTTTAATATTATGGAATAACATATTTCTAAAAAACAACGATAATCCCATGGAACAACAATAGTCCTAATGTTGCAGCATTGGCAACTTACAGAAAACAAAACAGGGAAAACCCTAAGCAGCCTGACAACCCCAATGTAGCATCATTAGTAGCAGTGTCATAAAAAATGTAACAAACACTATAGTCCTAATTTTGCAGATTATGCAACGGATTGAAAAGGAAAATAACATCGAGCTTTATGATATTAATGTAGTTGAAGCATGAGTAGCGGATTAGTAAAAAATAAGTAAACTCTTACATGTTTATGATCCTTATGTCACA